ATGGGAAAAGACGCAGAGAGAAGCACAGAAACACAAAATAGGCTTATAACCACACAGACTGCAAAGACTCGAACTCAGAGATAGACTGCTATAACCTGCTATAACCTGGTATCCCTACCTGGTGGTGTTTTGTATAATTCATGTAAAGACTTTGGAAGTTACATTTCATTTTCACAACTTTAAACTTTAAAGCATTGTTCATCAGTTAGTATGCACTCCAAGGTATCCATTAGTAGGAAGCAGCTAAGTGAATCATGAAGCAAGTGTATATTATACAACAATTACATGAATTATATACTTACACTGATATGGACCAAACTTCATTTAAACAATTGATGATCAAAAACAAAGTGCACAGAAGTAAGAATCATATGCTACTAAATGGACAAAAAAAGGAAGTATTGATATGTACATACATGCTTGACAGGACTAGAATATCCCTGAATGTGTATACACAAGAATTTGAAAACTGGTTGTCATTAGAGTAGAAATTAGAGCACTAGAGATAAGAAGCAGGCATTCATTTGATGTATTCCCCTTGGCAATGTTTGAATTTCTCACTAGATACAGATAATAATTTTCTTATAAATAAAAATAGAAATAAATAGCTACTCTGGCTGATAAACTAATAGAATGTCATTACTGACACTTTTAAAAAATTCTTCAGGTTTTACCATGATTTTTGAACCCCAATAGTTACAATCAACAAAAGAAAATTAAAGGAGGTTATACTCGAGGTTATAGATTGAATGAAACCATGCATTCTAGTTTAGTGCACAATGCTTGACATCAAGGAAACAATAAATTGCAAAACCTTATGCTAATCAATGAGTTACAGAGAGGAACTACTTTAACCCTCCTCTCTCTACCCACTCCCCCCATCCCAGGTCTACCCACTACTTCTCAGAGACTTCAAGCCAAAAACTTTTTTTTTTTTTGACTTTATCCCTTACTTTCTGTTTTGAAAATATATTCTATCACCCCTTGCCTAAGCCTCTATCTAGTGGACTGATTAACATTATTATATATATGGTATGATATGAGCATTTGAATCAACTCATGAGACAGTGTTAGACACTTTGTCTCCATGATGACAGATATAATAACTCTTAAAAGAAGAATTTTCTGGAAGAGAGCAACTGGAACAGTAAAGGTAGATTATGAAAAGAAAGCCATACACTTGTATAGAAAAATAGGCTCAGTGATCTAAAGGTACATTTTGAAGGCTTCAAGCCAGAATGCCATAAAATGTCTCTAGCTGCCTAAATCTTTCTTGGAATAATGTGAAGATGTAAATAAGTATTTATTTATTAGCTCATATTGATTATATTATGTATCACCAGTATAAAGGGGAAGCATGCCTTTCGTGTCTCGATGACACAACCTGATTGGGCAAGTGTAGATTCCACCCCTTGATGAGGGAACGGCAAGGCATATTGCAGAAGAACATGTGTGGTGGGAATTATTGTTACAGCCAACTTTGAAAAATCCAGTCAGCCACACTGAAATGTCTTCCAGAACAGGTGCTGTGCACTCATGGACAGTAATTGTGTTATAGTAGAAGGACCACATGCTTAGGAGTCAGAAAATCAAGTCCTAGTTCCATCTTTTAATAACTTCATAACTTGTCACAAGCAAATCTCTTAAATAATTTTTCTTGACTAAAGTATAGAAAATACTGACGACTTTACACAATAATTTTTAAAATTTAAAAAGCTAAAATAAAATTACCTCATGGTTCTATCCTTGATTAATCTCACTTCCTACTATCTCTTTCCAGAGTGAACTCACTTATACTATTGGCTTAGTAATATCAGTTCCATGCTAGTGAGTGACTCTCAAATCTATATTTATAACAATGAATTTGTGCTCTGGCTCCATTCCAGAATCCCAATAAGGATGTCCTTCCAGCATAACAAAAGCTATAAAGACATTATTGGGAATATTGGGAAAAAGTGTATAGATTGTATACCATAATATTATTTGAGAATGATGATTGTGTTTTGAATACATAAAGGAATGGACTGGTTATTAGGAGGTACGTGCCAAACAATTGGGGGGCTAAGCATCTGTCAGTGTGTGAGAAAGAGAGAGAGAGATCACATAGGCAAAACATTGACAATAGGTGAACCAGGCAAAGGGTAATTATGGTATATATTGTACCTTCTTGTAATTTTTCTACTGTTTGAAATGTTCAAAAATAAAAAGATAGGAAAGTAATAAAATTATATCTTCCCTTTCTCCTCTAAGCTTATGGCTCAAAAATGGATTCCTCTTTAATTTTTCTAGGTTTGGTCACCGACACCACCATCTCTCATTCCTCATAGTCAACTAGTCACCAAACCCTGATGACTGTTTGATTCCCACTTTCATTGTCCTAGCACAAATTCTGTTGGTTATTCACTTGGATTATTGATGTTAACATATTTTGATATAATCTTCCCATTCTTCTTTTTCATCCTAGATTGCTTTTCTAAAACATAAATCTAATCATGTCCCTCTCTTCCAGAAAATAAAAACCCTTCACTGTTCCACACATGCCTAAAAGAACAAAGTCTATACTCCCATACCTCCCTCTACATCCCTTCTTCTTAGTGTATGAACTATGCAATAAATATCCACACATATTTGGAAGTGACTTCTGCTTGTTTCTGTAACAAATTAATTTAGTGCTGCTATAATGAATCAAGAACAGTAGTATTTACGTTTCCTTTTATCTATTGCTGAACACTTAAGAAAAATTAAAACTCGAGCCAAGAAAATCTATACTTGCCTGGTTTGTTGCTTCAGGAATGAGGGTAGTACAAACAGTTTGCCATCTGAATGGGACGAGCTTGTGTGAAGGAAGATATGGATTTCTAATATGCTACATGGAATTAGGAAATGTTGCCTGGTAGCATCATTAATCAAAGCTAAAAATATTACCTAACAGAACCCAGCAGTCCCAGATACCATCTATTTCTCTGCTGCTTTCTTGTAAAAGCATGACACTGTGAATTTGATTAACACCTTCCTCTAATCTCTCTGTTCAGTCCTACCACCTGTTTTATAAATTATTATTATTATCAGTCAGGGATTAGGATTGGTTTTTCTGTCTCCAGGTAAGCAGGTCCAGGGGGAAGAGTTTTCTGGCCTAATCACGTTTTTTAAATAAGTACACCCACATATTCTTATGGCCTTAACAAGCTTTTCGCCTACAAATTGTGATGTTCTGATATGCAGTAAAATTATTTCTCTCTGAAGTAATTTTAGGTTGAGCTGTTTATCTCTGAACATCAAGTGCTATCTTCAAAGTCAAAATGAATTGTGGCTCAATTGTGTAATTAATTTCCTAAAAATGGAAAACCCTTGTCAGTCAGGATTACTCATACCCACACCCAATCCCCTCAACTAGACTCTAAGCCCCTAAGGTTAGGATTCCTACCACATTCAACACACATACACACACACACACACACACACACACACACAGCACCTAGGCCAGTGCCATGGACATAGAAAATGCTCAATATATATTTAATAAATACATAAATCAAGTTCTCCACCTTGTCTTTTTCTTTAGTATATGCTAGATATTTTTACCTGAATTATCAAGCTCACTTTTCCAGTTAACCTTACGTTTCAGGTCATAGCATGTTAGATTTGTGGAGTATAGAGCTCACAGGCAGCTTCAGGGTTTATAGGATGCAGCTCTTTATTTCCCAGGTGATGACATCGAGGTTATAAGAGATTAAGACAGTTATCTAAAGTCATGCAGCTGAAGAGTGGCAGTTCTGGAGCCAGCCTCCGTCCTGAGCCCGAGTGCTCTCCGCTGCACCACACTGAACTGTCTCCCATCAAAGCAGTCTAATTAATTATACAGATAAAATGCAGCCACATAAACCTCAATGTATCTGCTTATTTCTGTGCAGAATATGTCCTTTTTGCCTTCAGATAGAAAAATCTGAATATTTGTCTAAGACTTGAATAATCTGAATATATACAAAGAAAGTCATTGACTAAAAGACATCAACAACCTCTGATATTCTCACAATAAATAGTAGAGAAAGTCCCTGGAGATTTTTCCCCGACTTTGATCCATGTGAAGGTTTATTAGGCAGATTTATTATCTTGCATAGAATTCTAATGGAATGCAAAAACAGGGGAGTAAGGAAAAAAATATACATTGACTTCATTTAGCTCTTCAGCAATCTTGATTGAGGATCACCTTTGCTAGACTGTACAGAACATAGGTAAAGAAATAGGTGGGCATCTTCAAAGGTCTAACACCCTGGTAAGCTGAACTCTAGTAGCACTTCTTCCCTGTGAAGCACATAATGACTTTCATCACAGCCCACAAAAGGGAAGAGTGACATTTGGATAGCCGCACCTTAAATGCATAATAGCAGCTGAACGTTAAAAATGTCAATGTGTAAATAACTGGTAAGCTCCCCCATCCCCCCAAAAAAGTGTTTAACAGAGGAAAAAAAGCACATTTTCAACTATAGTTACAGCGATTAAAAAATCAAATAGTGATCTTCAGAGTCCCTCAGGCTGGAGATCATAGACAAAGCAGTCCTCTGATGACCAGTGGTGTGACCTGTGTGTGGCTAAGCAGCTGACCCTTCAGAGAGGCTTTGGGATATTGGGTTGACATGCTAGGGAAGTTTATGGTGAAATTTCTGAATTTACAGAGAGACGAAATGTGATGGTGACAACAAAATCTATAGGGGAATCAAGGAAGTTACTTTTTTTACTGACCCTCTTAAGTCGGTCCCCAACAAGTGCTGGTGTAGTTCCAGTTAATAGAAGGAGACCATGTGCGGAAGCAAAGGAAAGTTTTATTCTTTGATCAAAGAATGGAGAGGTGCCAGCCAATGCTCTTAAAGTACATACTCTCCCTAATAGGACTTAGGTCAGGCTGCTTTATAGGGGTCTCCTCAGCGGGGAGGGGAAGGGGCAGAGTTTCGCTGGTCTGGTACAGCTGCGCTGCTCACGCCCCAGATTGAAGTGCCAGGTGCAGCAACTCTGCGCGCAGCTGCCGCCATCATCTTGATTTGCAGCGTTGTGCGCAAACGCTTGCGCACTAGGCCGCCCAGCTGAGGTGTTGGGAGCAGCCATTTCTCACTAGGAGCTCTGGTCTGAAGCGCTGACTGCAAGGCCTCTGCACGCGGCGTCCTATGGGGCTAGTGAAACGCCATGAAGCACAAAGGAAGAAAAAAGGTTAGACTCTGTTTTATTACCCAGATTCCATGTTTATTTCCCGGGAATTGTTAACGCGCTTTACCAGTGGAAAATCCCCCTCTGTCTTTCATCCTGCTCCTCTTTCTTGAGGGGCGCTGAGGGGCGCTGCTCCATCTTCTGAAAATGCTTCCTGCTGAGTCTGTGTGTTGTCGTAACCCTGGGTGGAGGAGCAGAGCTTCTCCCCAGCCTCCTTTAGATGTGTTTGATGGTCACCAGGTCTCAGCCCTAACTGTTCATAACCCTGAGCAGCCACCATTTGTCTTACCTTTTGGAAACAAAGGACACCAGATAATTTAAGATACGCGGCCCAAATATTAGCAAGAGAATAATGGTCACATGTAGGATGGCATAGTTCTAGCAGGAACCTGTGTAAACATTTAAGATCTTCCCTGTCCCGCGCTCTACGGCCCAGGTGAGGGCTATCAGCTCAGCCTTTGGGCAGAAGTCCCTGGGGGTAGGCTTCTTGCCTCTATGACTTGAGTCTGGGAGGTCACTGTGTATCCCACCAACCTTTCTCTCTCTCTCATAAAATCACTCCTGTCTGTGAACCATTCCTCTTCAGTGTTTAGGAGAGGCTCACTTCCTAACATTCTAGGTTGGGGTGACTGCAATAGATTGTGTCTATGGTTTCTATACAGTCATGCTCCAGGGACCCCGTTTCTGTGGGTAGCAGGCTGGCAGATTTTAGCGTGTGACAGGTTTCTGTGCTAGCCACTGGGTTGTCTAAAAGCATAGCCTGAACTTGAATCGACCTTCCAGGGCATAGCTCCTCTGTTCCCTTAGAATTTACTAAAGCCTGAATGTGGTGTGGGGTCCATAGAGTGACTGGCTGGCCAAACGTTAACTTTTCAGCCTCCTTTAGCAGGGTTGTAGGAGCTGCTACTGCCCCTAGGCAAGGAGGCCATCCCTTAGCGGGTTTTTTTTTTTTTTTTTTTTTTTTTTTTTTT